GGGAGGGAGGGAGGGAGGGAGGGGGAGGCGCGGGCGCCTCGCCCGACCCGAGCGAGACAGAGGCGATATAGGTCCGGTGAGGGATGTCTTGGAGCGCTTACAAAAGCGGCCCCTGGGTCCTCTGGGCGCCTTTCCTCCTGGGGCCCCGGTGGCCGGGCCGCGGGGGCTCGTGGCCAGTACAAGTAATACAGGCGGGGCGGGGGGATGTGCCTCCCCGCGCGCCTCACTTGTTGAGTATCGCCTAACCGCCCTTTCATCCCTTTTCGCCACGTGGTGCAGACTGCTTGCCGCTGCTTGCAGACCTGACCCAATAACAGAGCAACCGTATGCATGCCCTAAGGCCGGAAAGCTCGCCCGCTAAAGCGGGGAGGGGGGGGGGAGAGCATGCAGCCTCAAACACCCGCGTCGGTGTGTAAAAGACCCTCGTGGTGTCCGGGGCCCTTGTGCACAAAGTGTGCTCCTGTCATCGAGGTGGTGGTGGTGGTGCCTCCTGCCAGCCTGCCCCGGGCGGGGGGCGGCCGGGCCCGGCCTCTACTGCTCCTTCCTGCCCCCCCCCCCCCCTTTCCCTTTCCTCCCCCACTTCCCCTCTGCCGCTCACCACACTACTACTTCTTCCCCTCGGGAATCCGCCAAAAATGAACCATAAACAAATCGGCCTGCGGTGGAGAGGGGGCAAAGGGTCTCGCCGGGCCGGCGTGTGTAGCGAGACGGGCGCGGTGGTGCGCTTTAGTGGCCGAGGCGAGTCGAGGAGCGAGGCGAGACCAGCAGCGCCGGTCGTGAGCGTGGTAAGCGTGGCGCGGGCGTGCGTAAGCGTGCGCCACTCCGTCGACTTGCACCGCGTCGGCCCTTCGACCGGCGCCGGCGCCGCCTCGCTGCGGCCGTTCACTGCGGGCGAATAACGGTGAGTCGACTTCAAGATTCATTGTTTTAGATTTAAAGAAACACGTGACCTATAAAACTAATGAAACCGCATTGCACGAGGCCACCGTAGTTACCAGGATGTACTGTGCTGTGCGTTAGACTTCTTGACTAGTTTGACTTTCGCGGGGGCTCACTTTACTTTTGCAAAACTTGTGCATAGGATGTCGCAACACGAGGCATGCATGGCGTTGCATCGTACGACGCCGCCGCGGCGGTGCGGTGGCGGCGGCGCTTTGGGTTACACAGCCGACATCCGACGCCTTAGCTCCTGCCGCCACCGCCGCTGCTCGCAGACACATGTACTCCGCGGGCAGAGCGCGCCGGGGGGGCCGCTCGCTCTAGCCCCCGGGGCCGTCGTGTGTGTAGCCGGCGCGTGACAGCCCGGGGCGACGCAGAGGGTGCGGCGGGGGGGCCTTCCCGCCGCACCCCTTCCACTCAGATTGGCGTGGCCGACTCTCGTCACGTCAAGGCTCCGCGCACGGCCGCGACCGACCAGGACGGTGCCTTCTGCACTTGACCCGCGCTGCCGCGACTGAAGGAGAATAATTTCGGAGGCGGCGGACACTTGCACGATGCGCATCGAGGCGGGGAATGGTCGTGGTCAGCAGACCGATTCCGTAGAGCGCTCCCAGGGGGTGTCTTTCTCCCACCTAATGGCCGTGTTACATGGGTGCGACAATAAGGTCGGGCAGAGGTACGAAATGCCCGTGCGGAAGCAGTCTACTACTGCACGCGTCAAGCGCGTCGCGTGGCGCGCGTCCGTCCGCGGGGCCGCGCGAGAGAAAGTTTTTTGGAAGAAGTTCTTCTACTCGGTTGGTTAAATTATGGGCAACCGAGGCAAACTTAGCGGTCCTTGGCCGGGCGCCAGCCGGCCGGGTGCTTGCCGCGCGCGGGGCCAGCTGGGACTCGGGTGGGGCGGGGGGCGCGGTGCGGGGACGGACGGCCCCGCGTGGCTCGCTCTTGCTGCCCGCCGACCGTGTCTCCGTCGTGTCAAGGCGCGACGCGCGCACCACAATGACGGATTTACTGCGCGAGGGTCGCTTGTCGCTATCGTCACAGCCTCTTTGGCGTCCTTCGCCCCCCCCCCCCCCCCACGTGGCCTCCGCGTGACCGAGTGGTGAGTGGACGGCGCCACGTGGGGGGCTTTGTGGCGGCCGGAGCCACGTGAGTCTGGGGGGCGGGGTCGGGGCGATTTACGTACGCCGTTAGGTCAGCCTACGTACGCCGTTCGGCCAGTGTTGCGGATCGTCAGCAGGAAGCTACGGTCGGGCATACTTTTGTTCGTGTAGCAGTGTATAATTGTTGTATGGCTCTGGTTATAGGTGTACTCGCGCCGCAGGGCATCATCAGCGAATGAGTGTTCAAAACGTTTACTAGGCACGCCTCGAAACACGTTCACTAACAAGGTTGAAAACATTGGGTCGGGCGAGGGGAAGTGGTGGGTCTCGAAGTTAAAACCGGTTAGAACGCAACTCGGCACCACTTAGCTCGAGGACTATGTGATCCATGTGTTGAGAGGTAGGCTGCCCTGGTCGGGCTACGCTTGGTGCAGTTCGCGGGCGGCCGCTGAGGGTGCAACCCCAACCCAGGCAGGGTAGGGTGCGGTGGAATCTGAAGGGGCCCCTTTGAAACAGTGCGGGCAGAGCCGGGCTAAATTCCATGGATTCCCCGGCATAAAAGACGCTCTGACGGGCAGTCACTCGTCGCTTTGCCACAATACCTTTGTCACCCCCCCCCCCAAAAAAAACAACACCCTATTGTGGTACCCAGTAAACGCGAATGAATAGGCCATCGTGACCTGTTGTGGTTAAGGATCGTCCAGAAGGTTGGTCCATTTTAATCAGATTGCGGAAGCTCGACGCCTGCGAGACCTGGGGTAGGCCAGCCCGCAGTACACGCACGCACTGCAGACTACGCGTTGCCTACCTATCAGGCGTTATGGGGTGTAGGGTCGGGAGTAACGCTCTATCTGCTATGTTTTCCTCTCTTGACAGCCTGGAGTACCGTGGTCGCCCTGCTCACTCCTCAGGTCGACATGCACTGGCGGCCCCCCTCCGGCGAGACGGGCGACCCGGGGTCGGCGGGCTGTGGATCGCGGCTTCGCCCGGGGACCGGGCCAGGCTCAGCCGCGGGCAGCACCGCGGGGAACTTGGGGGCGGGCACGGACGTGGAGGTGAGTACCGTAATTGCGGTGAGCGTGGAGCACTCAGACAAGCACGGATGTGGAAGTGAGTGTGAGTCGTTGTGAGTGCGTCCTTGTATTTTTGCCGGCGCGGAAAGCTAACAGCAGCAAGGTAAAAAAAATAATAATTACTGCTCGCTTTTTAAATTGATAAAAAACTTCGCGGGCCACCGTGCTCCGCTGCTCAGCAACTCCGCACAATCTGCGCGCGTGTTTCGAATTAGCCCAGCATGCGTATATTATCCATCAGCAGAACGACAACATCGAGCGAAACTTCCTCGCTCGCTCTTTTATATAGGCTTTTCGAACTCGACTCGTACTTTTCCTCCTCCTTTTTCCACTTTTCAGGAGGGGAGTATTTCTAGTGAGGATGAGGGCGGTAACTCCGGTGCGGACGAGCCGGCAGTGCGGAGCACGCAGGCGCAGCTGGTCTGGAGCCTGGAAGACATGCTGGCGAGCCTCAGGCTGCAGGTGGACGGCGAGGACTGGCTGAGCGCCCACGGCATCGCCGACCCGGGCCCCCCCTTTCCCTTTCCTCCCCCACTTCCCCTC